AGAGGCATATGTATGCAGGTTGCCATAAACGTTTTGACGATAACACGTCTGAATTTTTGGTGGACACTAAGAAAAAAACTTTGATATTTGTAACTATAAATACTTTAATTATATATTATTATAATTATGATTATTACTTCTATAATGTTAATAATAATTTTTTATACTACAAAAAACATATATATAGTGAAAACTGAAAATTACTATAATTATACTTATTATTGTAATAATGGTTGCAGTTATTATAATTTATATTTAATAATCTTTTTGCTAAAAAATAATTTTCCCAAAAAATTACTATAAATTATAGTGATTGCAATATTTTTCATGATAATAAGTAATTGTAATCATATAGCATTTTCGACTGTAGTAAGTTTTGAACTGATTCGATTTGGATTAGTGATGCTGCAAGCTGTACTATTGATAGAATATATAATGTCAATCAATAACAAAGCATTAATTCAACCCAGGTCAATTAAAAACCTGCTACAGAAAACGCTAATAGTTATTTTTCCAGTCAACTATATATATTTGTTGATAGAATTATACATGTTATTATTATTAACATTATAGCAGTTATAATCATAATTATAATAACATATAATTACAATTACAAATATCAAAAATTTTTCTCAGTGAAGTAAAACAATACTGAAACAAAATCTTCGCAGGATGCGCTGATCAAGAGCGAGAAACAACGCCGATATAACCGATTGCATGCGCATTATCAGAACGACGTCTGGGAAAAGAGGACGAAACCCCCAGAGAACTGGAACACTCCTCTGCCCGAATGGATGCAAAAGGAGTTTGAGAACTCGTATCTGCATATACGAAGCAAAGAGATAAAGCAGGGTGCAGAGGTATCTCCTCTCGATACAAAATGTACTATATTGTAACAGCAGATTTCTTATGTTATCTTATGTTATCTTAAGATTAAACGTAGCTTGTACATACATGTATTTATTATTCAAAGTCACATGTGTACAATAATATGTAAAGTTTTGCAGTCTGCGAATAAATATACGATCATGGCATAGGATTATATACCTTACGTTTGCTGCAAACTATGCGTGATTCCTGATTTGTATTCCTTGATTTCATTGTGCTTCTCCATAGCCGAAGATGGATTCACTCAATTATAAATCTCTTTATCAAAAATGTCAATTCAATTTCCTTTGTGTTACATCTATAAAATTATTTTTATTATACTTAGAATTCATTCTTTTTTTATATGAGTTATGCTATTTCAGTTTCTTGAAATTACTGTCTTTAATCTAGGAACAGCCATACTTATTATTGTAAGTAAATATTTATTTAATGCTATTCAAAGAAATATGTATGAAGATTTAGTAAATATTTTTTCAGTGAATTTTATCATAGACAATCGAAAATAATTGGAAGATTATTGGATTGAATATCATACTCAAATTTTTTATTCGTTCCATTTTTTCAATTCAATAATATCATTCCCCACAAGGGAACGATAAAATTCACAGACATATTTCGATATAGATAATTCTTTCAGCTTTTCCGTTCATTCCCCGCGAAAGAGAAGAGCAACGTTTTTTGAACGCAACGAGGCGCGAGCTGCGCATGCGCGAAACTTGTTTTCACCTTGAACCGAACCACCAGCCCCAAGCAACGGCGCAGAATCTCTGAGCGGAACGACGCGGGATCATTGCGTCGGTAAGGTCGTGGATGTCGGACATGCGTGGTTGTCCGAGGACACGTCGCCTGGCGATCTTCCTAATCTCCTAACATCGTCTACATCGCCGAGGAGTCGATTCGTGCGCTGAATGAAAGAAGAAAAATCGCTGGATCGCGAGACGCGAGCGTCCAATATTTCGAACGTCGCGGTGCGCGACCCTTCCACTCTTGCTTCTACTCATGCTCTCTTTCTCTCTCTCTCTCTTCCCCTCTCCGTCCTTCCTCGTAATTACGCCGCTCTTTCCGTTCCACATACGTGCGCATACATAGATGCGTACGTGTATACACGTACGCCGTACGCGTCGGAGTCCCAACCGAATCATGTTCCGCGTTTGTACCTAAGTAGTGGTTGGCGAGTGTGTGCGACACGAGGACGTTCCGCTGAATGAATGACATAACTTATATATAGATATATAAATATTGCGTAGATCGGATCGCGTGGTTGGCGTGTCTTAACTCGGAGTAAGTCGGAGTCGGTGCGATCGGTGTCGAGGAGTATAATCGAACCCGCATTATTCCGTACGTTACGAGTTCGGCGCGTCGCGTCGAACGTGAAGCGTAGCGCGCGTGCGGCGGCGCGCACTACAAGCGGAGCGGAACGAGACACGTTATAGCGGGCCGGGGCGCATCGAGAGCTAGAAGCAAAGCGGAGCGGTGCCGGAGCAAAGCGTGCGTTGCCGTGGCGTGGCGTGGCGTAGCGTCGCGCGTCGCTTCTTCGCGGCACGTGCGTGTTTATACGAGCGTCTAACGAAGCGACAATGGCCGCGGACTGCGTGGCGGACGGCGATTACCTCGGCGAGTATTCGCGATTCTTTGCCGAATTCGTCGCCAGGGTGAACCCGGACGATCAGCTGCCGGTGAAGGTGAGCGTTTACGACGTCAACGAGAACGAGCTCGTCGGTGAGATCATCAGCGTGACTCTACAGTACCTCAATCGAATGTAAGCAAACTTGCCTTTTGTTGTTTGGATTGATCATCATGTAGAAGTGGTGTGATGCCCTGTCATGCATTTTTTTTTGCGTGCGTGTTTGTATGTACAAATTGTAGACGTACGTTTGTATTTGATATTCCGTACCGACATGCCGAAAGCTCGCATTGGCTCCGCGCCTGCGTTCGTCCGCGTGAAGCGCGAGATACGTCGCTTTCTAATCTCTTGTATTTGTAGAGACAATTTTATGTTTGGACAAAATACTCGGGATATCTAGAAAAAATAGAGAGACACATATTTGGTTGCCTCTGAATCATTTCTATAAACGTTAGATCTGATTAGGCTTGATTGATGATTCATCATTTCTGTTCATAAGACGATAAACACCAACTAATGTAACATCCATGTCATAATTTCACACTCAACAATATATAGATATTATAATATGTTTTATGTAACAATTCAACGTTGTTGAGTGTGAAATTATAACATTGATTTTGTATATTATACTTTGTGTTTACTGTAGAGTGGAAAAAGACGCAATAATTTAAACTCCAATCAATTTTTACTAATATTTATATAAATTCTTATAAGTGTTTGTTGTTGTATGCTGGTAGTCCTCTTGAGTATCCATTCCCAGATAACAAACTTAAAGACGTCTTACAATTTTAGAATTTGTGTTGTTTGGGTTTTCTATACTGAAAAAAAAATAAATTTTTATAAATATTTATTTAAATAGTTCTAACGTAAATAAATATTTACGAAATGTAAATATATTTTATTTGATACAAAAACGTTAATTTGGTTTAACTGTAATTTTTTATTGAGTAAATATTTACTTAGTACTATTTAAAGAAATATGTATTAAGAAATATGTATTTATGAAATATTTAGTGTGTGTATGTGTGTGTATATATATATATATTGTTGCCCGAAAGAGTTGCTTTTATTAAATATTATCTGTAATTATCTAACTGATTTTGCATTATTTTACGATTCTTTCTAGAACTAATCAAATATTGTGATGTACAGATGCAATATTAAGAACAAGAAAATCAAATAATCTATTTATATAATATATATGAAGAAACAAAGAACAAACACTATTTTTCAATTTTGAATCTTTTAATTTTTCACTTCTTTTGACATACTCCAAACCTCCAAACTAGGTTTCTATGAAAATTATTTAACGATGGTTTATTTAGTTTTGATGTCATCACATTTTAAAATTATATTTGTTTCATTTTCAACAAATTTTCGCGTATTAAAATTAATATTTTAAATGTATAGATTTTCTTGTTTATCTCACATGTAATTTGTTGTTTTTTGAAAAATAAATAAACACAAATTCATTAACTATTGCATTAGTAAATGTAAACTTAAAGACTCTTATGAATCTAATAAACCGAAGTATTAAAGTAAGTATTTTTGAGACACCTTATATACATATATGTTATGAAGGTATTATTGCAATGGTCTATTTTTTTATACAAGAAGAAAGCCGAGAAAGTTACGAAATATTTTTTCTTGTAATTCTCAAGAAACGCGATTTTTATATTGCATCTATAGCACAAAGATACTCGAGCTGTTTCAAAGACGCGAGAATATTGTGTGCATCGTGGAAAAAAATCAACACGCAAAAAAGTTACGCATAGTTGCACGGTGCCTCACGCGAGCAGGAAACGTATGTAAGATTATGTAAGAAATTTGCCCTCTCGAACCGCGAGTTCTTCGAAGGCGCGAAATAACTGAATCGTCGCGAGATGAAAGTTACTTCCGCACTGCCGTTGCGTTTATCTATTTTAACTGAAACTCACAAGAGTCACGAGACTATCGCCGCCCATCGTTATCATGAACCAGGCGAAAAGGATAAACACTGCACACGATACATGATAAACGAGAGATAGCCAAAATATTTAAGCTCACTTCTTTTAGTTGCACTATATGAATATACTTCGTTACGTGTATGTGACTTTTTTTTCTTTTTCTTTTGTAAAAAAATTCTGAGTATTTATTAATTTTATTTTTAGTACGAAAAGTGTAAATAATACAACGAGAAAAGGATAGATTTTTTTATTAAAGGATAAAGATTAAGATATATATTTATATTAACTTTTTAAAATAATATTTTCTTTGTAAGTGTAGAAAAAATGCTCTTTCTTTCATTCTCGTTTAGAAGACTTGAATTGCGAATGTTTTATATTACATACTTAATTATTCTTAAGATATTAATTGTAACTGTTATAAAACTACCACTAACAATTAACATCTCGATATTTTTTAAAAAAAGAAACTGACTCCAACTGATCAAACCATACATATATAAAGTTTTAGTATTGCTTATTGGATATAAATTACAACTGCAGTTACAAAATCGTTAGAAGTTATTAATATCTTCATATTTTATTTTATTAAGAAAGTTAAAAATTGGTCAGTCTGTATTTTTGAAATTGATATCGTCTTGTAAATATTTCTTGGAAGTAAAAAATATGATAAAAGCCATGCGATTTGGTTTCAGATACTGTCCACCAAGCTTACAGTCCTATATCTCACGTCTCGTAATACAAGCGATCAAATCAACATGCAAGAAACAGCCGGAAATCTGCGGACTAAGGCAACAAGAAAAGAGTAAGTTTTTTTTTATAATTTCGTAATATCTTAATAAATATTCGCAAAAAAACGAAATACAAACTGCTTATTTAAAAAATGATGTAAGCATCTCTTCCAAATATTATAATTTTAATGTACAGTCAACGGATGCTATAAATGCTTTGAAGCGTTCTTTGGTTGGCCAATTAGTAAAATTTTTTCTTCCGATTGGTCATTCAAAGCATTCGTAGTGAGACTTTAACCGTGCCTTCAATAAAAATAATAATTTCTGGTAAATCAAAGATCTTTGAAAATGTATTTATATTTGAAATAAATGGCTCATGCAACGATCAAAATAATAATTTATAAACGATTAAAATAATAATTTATTATAATTCCATATAAATTATTATTTTGATCATTGCATGAATCATTTATTTCAAATATAAATGCATTTTCAGAGATTTTTTTATTTATCAGTGACTTTATTTATATTCTATATAAATTATTCGGCGGATTTTTTCGCAGCGTACGCGCCTTTGAAACTCATGCAAGCCGTGACAAACGAAGTAAACGAGATCTGCAGGCGGTATTTAGATAACAGCAGGCTAGCCCTCTTGCCACCGCCTTCATCGACGCCGCAAGTGACAGTGGGTGCTATCAGAAATGCCAGAAGAAAAATGGAAGACCGCCACATGATCTTGCATGATTTAAATACCATGTTTAATATTCAGGTAAAGATCTCATCAATCGTTTGCAATCATAATAATATATAATACTGAAATAATAAGTATTGATTTACGCGTTAAAATTTATTGACGATTATATTCAAAATTAGTTCTATTTGACATTATTAACGTATTAATATATGAGCTGATATGTTAATTTGTACTTTGCAGGATGACACTATCGTGGATTACTACGCTGTATTCGATGGCCACGGTGGACAAGACGCCGCGGCATATTGCGCAACACATTTGCATCAATATTTGGTCGAGAGTGTGCACTATCCTACAGATCCGGAACGTGCGTTGCGCGATGCCTTCCTGACGACTGATGCACAATTCATAGCGAAGTCGAGTACGCAGGTAAATGTTTCTTACGTGAAATGCTATATTTTATTTTGCATAATTTGCTACCAATAATTTTATTGATTCGTCATTTTGTTCCAGAAATTAAATGGTGGAACCACCGCGGTTTGCGCGTTGCTGATAAATAAAAAATTGTACATTGCTTGGGTTGGTGACTCCATGGCTTCGCTGGTTACATACGGCAACGTGAAACAATTGGTCAATCCTCATCGACCAACGAGAGAAGTAAGTAACCTAAATATTTTACTTTTTTTAATAGAATGGAATTTGAAATATAAGATAATCTCATTTTTGACAGAATATTTCTATGTTTAAATCGCGTATTCAGTTGTTTCAATCTTAATAAAATCTCAATCTTGCAATGAACTCCAATTCATTTATAGCCAAACGTTAATAATTCTTGATACGAAACTAATTTAGTCAATCGATTAAATCAATAGTTCACCAGTCTAATAAGTTTTTTAAGCTTATTTGAGACTATATTTTTAACTTTTATTAAATCTTCCGCTATTGTACCTTCTTTCTTTGGAAGATAAAAACTATGAAGATTAATTTTAAATTATTTAAAAATTTTATTAATAATAACATTGAATATTGTCATCGTGGAACATCTCTAATTAATTTTAAATTATTTAAAAATTTTATTAGTAATAACGTTGAATATTATCATCGTTGAACATCTCTAATCGTCATATGTAATTTTGCTTCGAATCACATGATCGTACAATATTACGTGCTCATAAAACGGGCAGTGTATCCGAACTCGCGTCGTATGTACACCAGGTGATGCGGCAGCCGGATCGACCGTAATCACCTGTCTGTCATGAATATTTTTAAACAACAGTCCACGTTTGGAATCTATAATCGATACATAATTACGGGTCTCATTCAAATACGTCTTCCCCATTCTCCAATGATAGTATGCGAGATCTCGCTTGAGTGGCGACAATTTTTTCTCTCCTTGGTAATATGGTAGCCAATCTTCCGACTTGAGCCGATCGTAAAAATCAATATAGGCTGATTCTTCGAACTGTAATTTTATTATGAAACTTCGAACGAATATGATGGTCGACAGAGTTCTTAATCTGTTAGCTCGCTCGCGCAGGGCAAGTTCCTTCATTAATGTACCAACTGGTGACACAAATTCCGAAGTGAGTTCGTAATACCGGTAAACAGGAAATAGTAGATCTCTCACGATTCGTAAGCGACGATAAAAGCTCTCCTCGCTCAAAGTCTCGCCGGTGCAGCGGTATCCGAGCTCGGCCAACTGACGCGCAGTTTTGTTGCTTTTGAGGTAGAAGATATCTGCAGGCGTCACCAGCGAGTTTAAATATTCTTCATAATTTTGAAAACTCAGCAATCTTCTGTCGCTGTCGATCTGCGTTCCGATGATCCACGTCATATTTATAAAGGGAAAGTATATTGTCATCGACGTTCAGAATGCTTTGTATTATGAACAATCGAGACGTGTGAAATGTGAATCCAAAAGGTAATTCAAGCGAGAGTATCGAAATATCGACACGTTTGACATCTATACGTTATCACGAGAATGTTGTGCTCGACTCGCTTTTATTGACTTTGCCACGTGCAAAATCTATCCAAGCTGGTTATGATGTCCTATTTACTATATATTACGATCTTTTCCTTTCAGGATGAGAGCGAACGGATTCGCAATCTGGGAGGAGTCGTCGTCCATTGTATGGGTATAATGCGAGTAAACGGATTCCTCAGCATATCCCGAGCCATTGGTAAGTGATTGTAATATGTTTTTATCACAAAGATATAAAAAATTATTGAAAATAAAAAACTTTCGCATTTCTATTCAATCTCGTTATGCGGCAAAATACTCACAAGCATAAAATCTGAGTGATGTGCAACCTTTTTTTAAGAAGATCATTTCCAGATGACCATTTTCAAAAATAAATAAAATCTTTCGCATAATGTGAATTTATTTTTATTTCGTTTGCATAGAATAGAAAATATGATTTTATATTTTCGGCTGCAAACCAACCGCAAAAAATTCGCAGATAGGCTGCAAGTTGCGTATCACTGCTGAGATAATATAATTAATCACTGTTAGATAATTAAACGCCAAAAATATTTGTTTTTATCAATATATAGATTAACTTTCTTGGTTTAATCTATTCTTTATCTTTTTCTAATTTTTAAATTTTAGAAAAAGATAAAGATTATAAGTTAAATCAAGATTAAAGTTAATCGACATAGAAATAGACACCTAAGCAAAGACATAGAAATAGACATACCTAAGCAAAATACTAGATTACGATAACATCATTTTGACGTTAAACTGAATCTTAAAGTAATCGGATCGTAAAATAACTTTTAATAATTATTTTAGAATCATTTTTATCTCTTTTTGTTATGATAACTTTAGATTCTAATATCTGCTAGGATAAGGATGCCTTGGATTAAACTTCGATTAACTTAATTGACGCTTAATTCATCAAATAATTCCTACGGTATTTCGTTAATTGATAGAAGAGTTCTTTTAATTATTATAAATTTTTTGTTGTTTAACATGAGAAAAAACTTAGACGAACTTAGAATTAAAGCTAGAACTCTCATAATTTTAGTGATTGAATTAATCAGCGATTAAGTTAGTTTAAGGTTGCTTTTTTTTAAAGGGATTAGATTATTTTTTGATAAAACTTCTATTGATTTTGAATTTATCAGTCGACCTTCATCATGATATGAAAAAAACTCAGTACGATATGAAAGTATAGATGGAGGCAGCGTGGTCGATCGTGATACAGTGTAGTAAATGATGTTCAAACGTCGTTCAGAATTCTATACATAAGAAACCAATTTCAGAGTTTCGAAGTCTCAGAGTATAACTTTATAGAATTTATAAAAATTTTCTTCGTAAGATTGTATACGAATTAAGATTTCATCACAATCTAATTAATTTTTCTAATATAGTCAACATCTAAACGTAATATCAATGTTATAATTTCGCACTCAACAGTACTGTTATGTAACATTATGTTACATTACATTTATATCGTTGTATGGAAAGAGCGATTTTGTTGAAATATTTAAACATTTAGATAGATACAAATCTGGAAATAATATTGTTGGACTTAAAAATAATTATATATAGAAAATTCGAGCATGATAAGCAATGCTGCAAAATGTTTTGGCATTCTAGCAATCAATTTGAATGTCTTACATAACAATTTTGGTAGTTTAACAAAATTATTTTTCGATCTATATATTTAGTTAAATTTTTAAATACTTTAAAATCGTTCTTTCCATGTGAATGCGAAATTATAATATTGATATTATGTTATTTTTAGTTAGTATCAACTGGATAAAGATAAAATCTGAAACTTCTCAAATTTGAAATTAATCATGTATTTCTGTAAAAATATACGAAATCACGGTTACACCGAACGCTTCATACGGAAATGTTATTTATCTTCATTTTCCTAGGCAATTGTAAGGAAATTACTTTTTCGCTTTCCATAGTCTGTGAAATTCTTTATTCTACGCACGTAGTCGAAAACGTGATTCGCAACTAATCTTGAGATTGACATTATTTTCGACGGATTCAAATTACCACGACAGACGGAAGTAATCTATTCTTATTGGAAATGCTACTTTCGGATTGACGTAATCGATACAAGTTTTCTCGTGTTGGAGAAGTTATGACTTTGTTTCGAAATTTTGCGATGGATTATTTGCGATCAAAATACCGAAAGCTCGATGTCAAATGATTTTAGATATCGAACTTTCGGTATTTTGATCGCAAATAATCCATCGCAAAATTTCGAAACAAAGTCGTAATGTCACTAGTTGAGATCACTAGTTTGTAATATCACTGACAGATCCACGGGGCCTTGAAGGACTTCCTTGGAGTCTCCTTTTTTTAAAAATACTAGCAAATGTACATATTATTTTTAATAATTCTTAAGTAATTAAATTAAATAAAAAAATTTAATTTAATTTAAAAAAATTCCTAAATCTAAAATTTAAATAATACATGTTTAATGTAATAATTAAAAAATAATAATTTAATACTCTATCTTTTCATATTTGATCTTAAAAAAAAATTTCGCTTGCAATGCAATGATAAATTTTTTTATCCGCCAATATGTAATGTAGCCAAGTAAGGAACGGGTGGCCAGGTGAGCCCGTGCCCAACTACGGCTCAAGGCATAACCTGTAATGGTGAGGAAGGAAAGAGAAGGAAAGAAAAATTCTAGCTGCGTGTTGGGTATCCTGTTAGTTCCGTTCGCCCGCTGACACAATACTACGTGCAGTTACGCTCCGGGAGCGCTCTACCGAGTGTGGCTCCCCCCCCCCCAC